ATGGCAGACAGCCCTCCTGGGTAGGATACCTCCTACCCTTCTTTATTTCAACAAATGTACTTTATTTGGTTTTCTGCCCTTTATAGCATGCTGATATTTTAGTTCATTATTTGCTGCAGGTTTCTTATTCCATACTATTCTAAATATGGCCACAGACTAACACAATTCTTGAAATTATGCTTTTGTTTCTTGTTTTATTTTGCCATATGAATATTTTAAATAGCCCCCTTCAGGTCAGCCTTTTTAGAAACTTTCTGGAAGTACCCAACTGGCTGAGATCTTTTGTCTTCTTTCTGAAAAAAACAAACAAACATGCACACAGCAACCCACCCTACAAAGCGATAAAATGACAAATGCAAATGGTCAATATTCTAACAATGAAGAAAAACATTAAGTGAGGCAAACTGTTTGATTTCTGTAATTTTCTCCAACACACTTGAATTAAATGGCTCATTAGCATTTTAGGGCTGCAGAGGCCTGGTAATAACCCATTCGTTTGATTGTGTTGGAGAACGGAGGCACCTACAGGTTACTGCATGGTAGAGCTCAGGGACTGAACTTGGACATTTCTGCTTTAAGAAAAGGAATAAAACTGATAAAAAAATGTACTTGAATATTTGAAAAAATATATATAAGCGGTATACAAATAAACAAGGGAAGAACTACCTCTTAAAAATCATTTAACGGAGACATAGAATAAACACAACTACATGCTGCGTTGAAAATGTTACTCTGCATAAATCTGACAGCAAAATGATTGCTAATTGCAAGGCTTAGCACTCTATAAACAAAAGTTGATTTGGGCATTCAGCCTTACTGCATCCTTGCACAACAGCGCCAAAACACTGTCTCAAGGCTAATGGAAATTAGATTTCAAATTTACCTCTTCTTTGACATTTGAACAAATCATACTTGTAGTTACTTAACGCTCCTATCATCTAATTGTTTCTGAGACAGCATTTTATAAAAGAGTCAGGGGAGGAAACAAAATTAGGCCTGCATGATATTAGGAAAATGTGACACTGAAATATTATTGCTGACAATTATAACAACAATATTGATTGGAAGTAATCTACATTTTCCTTACTGCTCTCTGAGCATTGAAAGTCTATCTGAGTGGCAAAACACATAGGAAAGAAAAGTTTTGATGCACAACAAATAGCAAATATTGCATCCAAATTGTGCTTGCAATCTCTTTTTTTTTACTGATATTGCAATGATGATTGCTATTTGGTATGGTGCTGCTCTACTAGAATTTGTCATTTGAAACTCGATGTTGCCAAACAGATGAAGGATTGTAGTCAAGTCAGGTGGTAATGGAATCAGGGTTTCTGTAACATTTTACCAAGTGGCATCACAGATTTTCGTTGGACTGGAGTGTTTTATTATGGAGATCAAATAAAAAAACGTCTTTTATTGAACTTGTTTATAAAACTGAATTCCAGGAGTATGATTTCTGGATATGAACGAGAATTTTATTTTGTAACATGTCCTGAGATTACATTCGTTTTGAAGTAGCAATATATCAATCAAATAAGTGAACTCAAATGAACTAATCTCAATTAATCTTAATTAAGATATTTAGAAAAATAAATAAATGGACCAAAGTGGGCCTTCTGTTCTCCATGCTCATTTACATCAATCCCCGGGAAGATTTCATGTCGCATCTCCACGAGTGTCAATGGAAAGCATATATGTCCAGCAGGCCTCCTTAACACTCCAGCCTTGAAGCCTTATTGAAGCGAGAGACCACGACAGGCCTGTCTTCAGCACCATGGACAGCAAACATTGCAGTACAGGCCACACAAACACACACTCACACAGATGCTTTTAGTCGACACACACTCCCACAGAAATAAAACAGACACACATGCGCATACACACACACACACACTAAGACATCAGTGAAAATCACAGACCTACTGTAACATCAGAGTTGGTTATCCTTTTTTTATCATTGTGTTTTTATAGGACATTGACTTCTTTTCTTTTTTTCTTTTTTTTTTTGCGGCCACTTTTGGTGTCTAATATCTGAGCACGTCTTCAGGCACTAAACCTTTATTGATCTTCTTCTTGTGAATGTATCCCGTCGCATGAAATCACAGACCTTCTCACCCTAAATGAAAGGATTATTGATAACACAGTATAGTCTTTCAGCGATGTCAAACCTTTCTTGTTTCTCTGGGATCATTTATGGGACAGAGCAAGAGACTGCGTGCTTTGGAGATGCTACAGACATCGGCAGTCTAGGGTGTGTCCCGAACTGACACATGGGAGGCTGTTTGTTATCCCATCTAAAAACTAAAAAATACAGAAAACTGACCAAGGGGGAGATTTTGGAAATGTTTTTCTGCGCAGGAATCATGCGGGATGTCAGGAAAAATGGAATGGAGATTAAAAAATAAAAAGGGGGAAGATAAGGAAGATATTTCACGGTCACTGCAGCACATCAAAACATCCCCGTTCATTTCGCCTGCTGTGATACGAGTTAGGAGCATTTGCGACAACAAATGCTCCTCTCCAGTCACAATCACATTCCCTGAGGTATAAGTGGAATTTACGCATGCGGCTTTTTTTTTTCTCCTTCTTTTTGTCTTCCGTTAATCAAATTATCGTGGCCCCACTGATGCTGCCAGCACCAACATCGGCATCACATACACCCAGGCCAACGTCTGCTGGGTTCAATTGAACCTCTTTACGTGTCAAATATATACATAGATATGATTACGCATGTATTCTTCGTCATGCAACACACATGTTCGACGCCCAAACCTCTCACCGATCACTGACTCACCGCTTTGCTCTCCCAAAAACACGAGTTTAAATTTCCTCAGGGGATTCCCCAAATCTCCTCCGGCTGACATGGTGGCAGATAAAAAGGCCTAACTGAGATATAGTTTTTGTTTTCAAAATGTGTATTTTATGTAAATTGTTCTTCTTTATCGGCCTTGTTCTCTCTCTCTCTCTCTCTCTCTCTCTGCTGTGGGTGCGCAGGAGGATCCTCCTCTCCTCACAGAATGGTGGGAATGCAGCTCAGCGTCGTCCTGTCAGTTCAGGCAGCGTTTGCGCCTGCGCGACCTCTCCTCTTTCAAATCCCTCACCTTTCCTTTCGTACTCAGAAATGATTTTCCTTCCTCGAGACGGAAACGTAACGTACAGGCAGGGTGAAGGTTAAAATTAGGGCCTTGGAAACAAGGATCTTTAAGTGGACAGTAAGCACATTTTTGATTAAGACAACCTTTCTGTGCTAAAAAAAAAAAAATATATCGTTCTTTGTTGGTCTTGTGTCTTAAATCCTATTATTATATTATTATTTGCTATAATAATATAGAGTAATTATGGATTGTTTTCCTATGTTTTTTTTTTTTACTTTCTTAAGGCATAAAAAAGATGGGACAACGAATAAATAAATAAATTGTAGGTGATCAGTTGTATTTTTCTACAAATACAAAGTTGTTATTTGGACAATACATTACCAGCATTAATCTTTAGGGGTTTCATATCTTTCTATCTATCTATCTATCTATCTATCTATCTATCTATCTATCTATCTATCTATCTATCTATCTATCTATCTATCTATCTATCTATCTATCTATCTATCTATCTATCTATCTATCTATCTATCTATCTATCTATCTATCTATCTATCTATCTATCTATCTATCTATCTATCTATCTATCTATCTATCTATCTATCTATCTATCTATCTATCTATCTATCTATCTATCTATCTATCTATCTATCTATCTATCTATCTATCTATCTATCTATCTATCTATCTATCTATCTATCTATCTATCTATCTATCTATCTATCTATCTATCTATCTATCTATCTATCTATCTATCTATCTATCTATCTATCTATCTATCTATCTATCTATCTATCTATCTATATCTATCTATCTATCTATCTATCTATCTATCTATCTATCTATCTATCTATCTATCTATCTATCTATCTATCTATCTATCTATCTATCTATCTATCTATCTATCTATCTATCTATCTATCTATCTATCTATCTATCTATCTATCTATCTATCTATCTATCTATCTATCTATCTATCTATCTATCTATCTATCTATCTATCTATCTATCTATCTATCTATCTATCTATCTATCTATCTATCTATCTATCTATCTATCTATCTATCTATCTATCTATCTATCTATCTATCTATCTATCTATCTATCTATCTATCTATCTATCTATCTATCTATCTATCTATCTATCTATCTATCTATCTATCTATCTATCTATCTATCTATCTATCTATCTATCTATCTATCTATCTATCTATCTATCTATCTATCTATCTATCTATCTATCTATCTATCTATCTATCTATCTATCTATCTATCTATCTATCTATCTATCTATCTATCTATCTATCTATCTATCTATCTATCTATCTATCTATCTATCTATCTATCTATCTATCTATCTATCTATCTATCTATAAGAGTTCTCTAAAGTAGAAGTAGGAACTGGATATTCCTGAGTAGCTTTTTTGTTGGATTTGAATTTAAGAAATATTTATTAATAAATATATATTAATAAATATTTTTTTGCATTTACAGTCGGCCAATAATCATACTAGCCACCTGTATCAACAGTTGGCTAGTATGATTCACTGGTTTCCATTTTTGTGGTCTGTGTGCATAAAAATTGACATGAAATACAAGAAAATGGCTTTAGGAAAACTGTCCACTGCAGTGACCGCTGCATGAAAGGGTTGTGTTCAGCAAAACTGCAGTTGGAGACCTTGGACAGCTGTACACATTGAGTATATAAAAATCTAAACTTCAAATGCATTTTCTCTATTTGCAGAATTGGTGAAGGTTCTTCAAAATACTGAAGTTTTACAGTAACTTTTGTTTGCAATGACTGTTCATCAACAATGCTTTCTCAGTGTTTTATTTAGGATCCATCTCTTTTTTTAAATCAATATCATTTTGTCCCCCCCCAAAAAAAACTCATCAACTTTTAGCTCAGTGTTGAAAGTCAAACAGTTCCGCCTCTTTCTCTTTCCAGAAAGCAAAGCTGCGATTGATATATTTACATATATCTTCATTATTGAAACAGGAAACGTCTGTGTCACTGCCACTCTCCTCTGGAGTTGCATTTTGGACTATAACCTTAGGTACAGGTTTAAAGTCTGGCACCAATGACGATGGGCAGCGACACGTTGAGTCACCGAAGAATTGAGTTTTGAGATCTTCAAAGCCGTCGCTCCACTGCCGCCTCCCAGACTGAATTTCCTGGAGAACAGCCTTGTGGAAATCCCGCACCTTCTCCCAGGGGAAGAAGCTGACATGGTCAAAAACCTCAAAGCAGAGGAGATGTCTCATCTTCCTTTCCTCAGCAGACAGGTCTTGTTCCAAGATGTGGAAATAACCCAGCATGAAGAGGTCGAGGGTCAAGTTGTCGTGACTCATTGCAACTCCATCCATATCTGGCAGGAACTGCTCTGGGGAGTAGGTAACATGGGAGTGACATGAATTTTGGGATGAGACCAAATGGGATTTTGGAGTGCACTTTAACTCCAGCTTATTCCTCCAGGAGTTTACAATCTTGTCCACGGCACCTCGTTGTTGGCAGAACCGGAACATAGAGTGGGGGTTCTGTTTCAGCTGAGCTGTAGCCGCTTTCCCCGATGCTGCAAGTTTTTCTTGACTCTGTCTTGCTGCTTTCATTGAAATGGCATATGCAGACTTTTTCCAGTGACTCAGGAATAACACAACTATCCGCTCTTTCCTCAAGCTGGTGGTCTCCATCACAGCTCCACAGGTGTTAATGGTGCCATGACTAAGGTGTGTGTTCACATCATCACTGCTTCCTGCTGACGGTCCAATCCAATTCTTCCCCTTCAGTCGCTGTGCACCATGTACAACCCCAGCAAAGGGGTAAATGCTTCCAATCTGACCCTCAAAGTTGGACCTAAGGTTTTTTACTGACACACCAGACTGTTGGATCTCCCGCTCCACCTTCTCCCTCTTTTCTCTATTGCAGCTGCTGCTCTCCAAGCGATGGCTGAAAGCAGATGCCATCCCAATATGGGGTATCCTACATCCACCGGATGTCCCCGCAGATGCAGACTCCTTTTCTTGGCTATTTTGCATCAATCTTGAGTCCAAATCAATTTCAATTATGTTTTCCTGCAAACTCTTCATCCCTTCAACCATTCCTCCCACCAACCCCCACTCACTTTCTTTTCTCTGAGTTTTAGTCAGATTGGCCACCAGCAGAGACATGTTCTTGACAATCTCTGAGACACGATCACACCAGATGGGTAGAGTCAAGGGCATTTTCCCCTCAGAGTCCATTCTTTGTAGAATCTTCTTGTTGAGAGAAATATTGACGATAGGATCAGGTAAGATTGCCTTTAACTCCTCAGTTAGCCTGGTCAACTCTAATTCATAAGCCTGGCAACGTTTCTGCAGAGAAACAGACTCAATTTGCTGCTGCAAGTAAACCAGATCTTCCTCTTTTAGGAGTTCACCAAAGGGCCCTAAGATGGCATTGTGAGTCTGGGAGTATTTCCAGGAATCCAGTGGCATGTCGCCATTCAACATATTCTGTTAAAAAAAAACAACAAAGATAATTCACATTTCAGACGGATGATTTTTTTAAAAATAAAAATTTAGCATTTTGCACAAAAGTACAGAAGATAATAATAGGGGTTAACATCTGATGACATAGAATATGTAGAAAAAGTGTTGGATCAAATGTCCAAATCATTAAATTCAGGTGTTCTGTACACTGTTTTGTGAAAGAATGGGAGATCTGTGAATTTCAGTACTGAAAGACTGTGATAGGAAGCCACCAGTGCAATAAGTCCATAAAATGTCCTTCAAAGGGATCAAAAGCAACAGCAACTCATCCACAAAGGAAAACATAAAAAATCACAAAGAAGGTTGATAATCCCTTTGTGTAGAGTTTATAGAGTTTTGTGATTTTTTGCAAGCTTGATAGTTTCACACCTCCAAAGTTCGTGTGGTCTTCCAAATAGTAATTTTTCTGTAGTTTCTCTCAACGTTATCAAAACTGTACAGAAATCCATTGATACGTTTCAGTCAAAATGTATTTAAACATCACTTTCTCTGGGGTTGTTTGCATTAAAAAAAATGTCTCATCTTTCGAGGGTTGTCAAATTAAAAAGCATTTGTCATTTTGGACATTCAGATTGTTGATTGTTTTTTTTCTAAGACAGTGTGCTCTGTCTTTTTTTCCCTCACACAAAACAATGAAGGAGTACCTGTGCCTCCTCTACCTCTTCATCTTGCATCCTGACCTGGAGCTGCCGAACCATCACCTGCCGTTTCCATTCTGGTATGGGGCATCCAGTTTCATCGTGGGTTGGCACCAGGGAGTCAATGTCAGCCAAGATCATGTTGACACTTGGTACCTCCTCCTGCACCTCCTCTTGCACCTCCTCACCATCAAGCCACTATGGGTTTCCAATGACACAATGGTGACGCTTTAACATGCATGGATATTTAGCCAGGCATGTTAAGACATTATAAGCAGACAAAAAATAAGTACATAATTTTGAAAAAAAATTTTATGTTACTCCGATGGACTGGCGACCTGTCCAGTGTCGCCAGTTGATGCTGGAGATAGACACCAGTAACCCTTTTTTTATTATTTGCACAGCAACATTTATATTTTTGACAAACTGCAGTTTATCCGTTTGACTTAGTGTATTTTGCAGGCGCCTTTTAATCGTTAAAAAATGGAAGAGATGACCATTGTTATTAAAGGCTTTAATTTTCAAATAAATTGCTGAAGACTGTTTGTATTTTTGTAATTATATAGTTGCGATTCTTCTGGCAAGAGGATGTTTTTATTCAGGTCTGAAGTTTTAGGAGGGTGTAATGTTCACTTGGAAGACTGCACCACATGACTCACAGTTTGCCCGGTGAAGACTGCAGTTAAGCCGGCATGCTTCAGCGATTTAATAGGCTTCATCCGAGACATCGGCGTGAGGTCTCTCTCTGGAGGCCTCAGGTGATTGAAGGATGTCACCACTGTAAGCAAATACAACAAAGGTGAAAGGTCAAATCATATGGTTTTACAAAGATGGCTTAGAGACTGTGTGACGATCTGTTTTTAAATATGTGAATAACATATTTAAAAAAGATATAATTTCAAACTTCTTTTCATTGTTGTATCAAAATCTTATTTGAGTGGGAATAGTTGTCCTCTTGATAGATGCTCACAGCTGAACTGTGGATTTCTGTAACTTCTCCAGAGTTACTGAAGACCCGTTCTGCATCTTTGATTAATGCTTACCTTTCCCAGCCTTGAGTGGGTAACGATTTATTGGTATGTTTGGTCACATGCTATTCTCTTCCTGTCTTTTGAGCAGGTGAAACTTGTAGTTGTAATCTGGCAAAAGCTTGGACATGTGTCTGGCCTCATTACCTGAGGAGGCCAGTTGAACCTGCTGGATGGACCCGGTAGTGTGTTTTTTTGAGGAGGCAGCAGGGGTTGGAGCGGTGGAGGTCACAGGAAGCGGGGTGGGGTGGCGAGGCAGGGGGAGAACCTCCTTCACTGGCTGCTGGGGAGACACACAGCAGGCATGAACAATGCTCTAAAGGACAGCTGAACCAGTGTGCAGTTTTTGTTTCAACATGTTCTGCTTCCAAAATATTTCTTTGATGCTACCTTATTTGAGATTTATTCTTCAACACAACGTAGCAATTAGTGCCTACATCAAATACAACTATTTATCCTGTTCTTGAAGCATTTCATTTCCCTTCCTCTGGGGTGATTTTTATTTCAGATCAATGGTCACCTTATTATTCTCCATTCTTCTTCTCCTATCTTACACTCTGGCAAATCCAAGAAGGAGCAGCCCCTCTGTTGAAAAGACAAAAGAGACCAATAAAACAGGAAAATAAGGAAATACTGCACAAATGAGACACAGCTTCTCAACAATCAGCCAGGAGATCAATATTGTCTAGTAGCAAACACACGCTAAGGTAAAGACATAGGCTGTAGTGCTTGAAACTGAGACAGGAAGTGGTGAAACTGGAGCCGGGACAGTGGATGTATAGCAGCCCCCAGCAGAGTGCAGCAGAAAGCCTGTTGGAGCAACTGAGACACTGCTTTGAATACTGAATCCAAACATATTATCTGTTTCAAGAAATGTTTTGATTTATCCATATACTGAACTGCATTATTCTGGCAGCTGTATGTATCACAGTTCGTCCTTTGGATAATTTTTATTTATTTCTCAATCTAGAAATGATTTCTGCATTGAGAATCCTGTTTTACATAGATTAATAAAGCTGAGTAATTTGATAAATTAGAAAAACTACTTTACATATTTGTCTTAACCCTCTCAGGCTCAAATTACTTGCAAAGACTAGCTAAGTAGCACTGAGCTGCTGCAAATCTGCAACATCTGCCTGGAGAGGGTTAAAGAAACCTCTTTCAACGGCAACTTAGGTGACTATTTTTAGAAATGTCTCACCTTTAATTGATCCAAATTTCAAATAGATATTATAAACATTCCACTCAAAATTATAAGCAAATTTCTACTCATACTTACATTTTGCTCCCCTGGAGTGTAATAAGGACGCCAACAGCACGCAAAACTTAAACTAAGAAGAGAAACATTCAGCTGAAAACACAAGAGAAGAAAATGCACATGTCTCGCTCTTTGCCTTGTAGAAGCCAATAACCAATAAAGCCAGTGAGCAGCATCAACTGGATCCAAACCTCAGACAGGGGGGCCTTCTGAGTGTGCATAATTAAAGCAGTGGGATAGGATGACTGGCACCTGGAGGTATAGAAACGATAGCTCTGTGAATGTATGTGGGGGATAAAATACTGCAGAGTACTGAACACACACCATCAGGTGTAAGTGTGTGTGTGTTGTACATTATTAGTGCAGCATGCCTTTTAAAGGCGGTAGTATGTCTTTCCCAAGACTTGCAGTTGGTTTTGTGTCGATTTGGCGACCCCTACTGGCACTTGTCTGAGAATTACAAAGCTATGGGCACCATTTTGTGGGTCATGATAGAGATGAACTGCAGGACAGCAGTGCATCACCAGAAGTTATCTATTGGATACAAATATTTGTTATATTAATATTTATATCTGGCACATTTTCTAAGTAATATTGAGTCAGATTTTGACTAAACAAAATTACAAAATCATTGCAGATGAGAAAAATGGATATATTTAATATTATTCATATATTCAGCTAAAGAATTGGAAACAATTTGTCTTTGTGGGAGTCTGCTCATAACAATGTGTGGAGAGTAAAATTGTTCTTTCCTAGATTTTTGATTATAAAACAAAACTTATCTAATGCCTGAATGATTCATAGGTCACCACATTATCTTAAAAAAATAATAGATCTCAAATGGTCAGTTTTCAAAAGTGTCTGTCCCACTGTACTATTTAAAAAGAACTTCTAAATGTAAGGTACACTGCTAGATAATATTTTGAAGGGTCACAAGAAGTACTTTGAACTTGGAAAGTTGAAAAATTAACAGATGGATAGAGAATTTTGCAGAGTACTCATTAAATAATGACGCAGTTACAGAGTTTAGTTACTCTTGTCCTTTTTTTCTCTTTCACTGCATCACAATAAATTTTTTTCTATCGCTTTAAGCTTTTTTTTTTTTTCTTTTGATAGATCCGATTTACCAGCCGCTATAATTAAATTATCCAAACACGTGCTGTCACTGTAAAACAGTACAGTGTGTACAAAGGATGTAGAGACAAATACAGGAAGAGAAATATGAGAGGCGACGGCCCGTGCCTCTATCTGGGGCCTCTTTGTATCAAGCCCGGTTTTCTTACCTCTGTTAATGGCACTTCAGTGGGACTGTGTTGCAGCAGAGAACATGGTGATAATGTAATCAATAATAGAAGGCCTGCACAGAGAAAGCCTCACAAAGACTTAGCCCATGTGTCCACCTGAAAGAACAGCACAAGCTGTTATACAGCAGACGTGAGAAGAGCCATTATCCATTAACAGGGTTGATCTGTGCACCCAAACACAATCATTTAGACGTCCAATGTTTAAGACATTTTGTTTGACAAATTTTGTTATATTTATTAATATTTCAGTATTCTTTTTATTGGAGAGGGAACTTTAAGTAAAATGAACCTAATCCTAATCTGTGAACAACTATAGAAATGAAATATTTTAAAGTTTCCTGATTCTGTACCTTTAGCAATATAAACCCACAAGACTGATGAAACACACCACACACAAATTGTGCATAAGTTTCAACACTCATTTATTTATTTGTTTGCCTTATTTTATTTCTTTGACAATTGCCGTTATGTGTTCACAAACATGAGAAAGAACTCCAGAACACTCAAAAGATAAACGTGAGCACTGTGTTTAGGCTGAGACCTGCTTCTGTCAAGTGACTCTGAGCAAGAGTAAAAAAAAACCTTCCATCCCCCAATTTTAACATGAAGACCTCATCCACACTGAGCAATCAGGTACAAAACAAACCCCTCATCGCTATTCCTCACTCTGCCGGGACCCTTGACAAAGCAGGAGACAATTTGATGATACACAGAGGAAAAATGGAGTTAATACCATCTGTGTGATAAGACCCAACACGGAAATCTCAATTTATATACAAGACAGAGCCAAGAGGAAGGTTTCCAGTTAATTGTTACAAGGATCATGAATGACAATACTTTACAAGCAGCACTTCAGGAGTGGAAAGCTGTTGTCATTAGCAAGCTGTAAGGCAGGAGAGAAGGACAAAATCCAATGAAGAAAAGAGGACCAGCATGCTTTGATCCCCAACTGTGACAGATAAAGCAAGCCAGATAATGAGCAATCAACTCATATGCCATTTAAACAATTACTGCTTCAATCTCAGAACTTTTTTACATGAAAGTCTTGCACTTTTTGGACTTGAAGTAATGCAAGCTGCCTGCTTGAAAAATAAATGGTTGTTTGAACTGTGGCGGTGCTTTGTCTGTGGAAGCAAAAAGAGTTTTAATCATTTTTTTTAGGATTATGACCACAACAGAATTGAAAACAAATCATGGTTTTCAATTGAAAAGTAGGTTAATAACAATAAGACTAATAAAAATGCATTGTGCACAAGTGCAAAACAGGTCTAACAAACATTCTGTTCATACAATTTTATTAAATAAAACTTCGCCTCAGTTCCATCTATCACCAGATAACATGTAGAAAAACATACAAAATGATAATACCAAGATGTCCCAAATATTAAATGTCACACAATATGTTTGTCCAGTGCCACCATGTGATATTCTAAAACAAACAGACAGCTTTCACAGTGATAGGCTGCATTGCTCAACAGGTTGGTTGACCTGTGGCACACAGACTCACTTGTTTGCTGACTATAAGTCAAGTTTACCCACAATCTGGTCCTGAAAGGACAAAAGGAAAGCAAGAACTACAATGAAATGGACGACTGGCTGGCTGACCAGAGCTTTATTCAGAAAGATGCTTCATGTCAACCGATCATGCTTTCTCTTACATATAAATTTGTCCTTCACTGACACATTCAAAGTAATATTTTGGGCCATCTTGGTAAAATACAGGAAGGTATCATCAGCAGTAAAGAATCTCTGGACCTGAAGTTCATAGCTACAGACAGCTAATCATACTGCCCCACATTCTGTCACAAGTCTCCATCTACAATAGATTAAAAGTATTTCATCTGCAATGTTTTTCAAAAGCTAACAAGTCTACTTATAAAGGCAAAACTTTTACAGTGCTTAGGGATTCTTTGATAATATGTACCCCCAAAAACATTGACATAAATAATGAAAAAAGAAAGATTCATTTGTCACTTGTAATTAACTTCAGCATCGCTATTTAAAGTTGAGAGGGAAGAAGTAGAGAGAATGGGGTGAAGAAAAGGAGGCACTACACGGTGCAACGCACTCTAAACCAATCAAAGGTCCAAGTTTTTTACACCAAAGTATGTCATTTTAGTCTGTGTTGCAGCTCTAATTGAGAAAATAAGTGCTTTACTCTGTTTTTATTTGTGGATACTTATTTGTAGAAATAGGAAATCATGAGGTCAGTGTTCCCTAAAGAGGAAACCACTCTCAGCATCAGCATGTGAACTTACCCAAGTAAAATGGCAAACTCAATTATTTTCTTTCTCTTATTAAATATGAAGCTTTAATAAAAAGAAAACAAGCTTGGAAATTTTTTTTTTTTTTTTTTTAAACTTAAAACATAAGAAAATCTTTGTTGCTAACTCATCTTCACAGGTGCCAAAACCACATCTTATGAAGTTTAGGCTGTGATAATCTTCGTGCAGGGAAATGACAATCCTGATTTGGTTTATTATTTTCTTTGTAAGCCTCAGGGTGATATTTATCTTTTAATCAATTCTCTTTGCATTAGTAAATAAAAGTGAAATTTTCAACAAAGAAAGTGCATTGTGAAATAATGTGCCGGCTGACACATACAAGAAATAGACTGTGACACAGAACGGTGCTTTGGTTAAAATAAAACAGTAAAAAAAATGCATTAATTCAATCAAGACTATAAAGCGCCATGCAACAAAACAGTGGTCTTGTCACAAATAAATAACAGTGCAGAAAATATACAATAGCTTGAAATAAACAAAGACAAACCAAAATGCCAGGCAAGGACAAAAGTTATCTCTCCTTATAGTGAATTACTTTTGCCTTAGTTGAGCCAATGAATCCAGTTTTCACAAAATTATTTAATGAGACCACACAGGAAGAACATCCCCTTGTCCTTTCAGATACCTTCTCATGCTACTTTTGAGCTAAAATAATGAGGAACAGTCAATTTCCTCTTTGCCATCTGATGTTTCTGCAGTGAAGAATTTCATGCTGCATCAAGCAGATCCAAACTGAGGTATTTTAC